GATCACATATGAGTTACACGAATCATGGAGTATTATCTATCGCTTCGCTCACTTTTCATCATCTCATACAAAATTAATATAATTTTTTATGTCTTGAACTATTTATACACATTTTTCATATTTCTTTCAGTTTGTATCTTTTATATTTTTATATCACTTTTTTGTCTCCGCATTTTTTCCACGTGACTCTATCGATTATTACAAAACACCAAATATATAAAAAACCATTTATGATAAAATTATCGTTTCACGATATCATTTACATTTCTTATTATTAATGTTTTGTAAAAAAGAAATAACATATATACGATATCAAAATGTTGCGAAATTAAATGATCAGAAATTTTATCTAATTAGAATATGATTGGCAATTATAAATATTATATTTTTTGTAGGTACAAGAAAAAAAATTAAATATTAAATATATTATTAAGTTAAATTATTAATTTTTAAAAGTTATTGACATAATCAGATATATGAAATATGAACATTATAAAGGTAGCTGTTTGAATATTTTTTCATTAATATAATTTTATCGATAGTCAATATCTACAAAATAGTATTTTTAATGTACTTTGACACTCCTTTGTTTTTTGTCACTTATTTAATAGCATGTCTTTATCTGATACTTAAATCTGCAATTAGATGACGTGCAGTAATATTGATGGTAGTAATAGTACAAGTATGTTGTCAGACAGAAGTATATAATTAGGAATGATGTGGTAAGACAATTAGCCTTGATTGTTAACTCCGCAGTTTAGATTAAATACGTTTTTTTCTGTTTAAAAATAGGATTGGCACAGATCTTTCTGAGATTCTGATGCGTATTTATTTATAACAGTCTTTAATAAGAAAAGAATATTGCGAATATTTCAATGATTCAAATGAAGCTATCACTAAAGATATTTCTAAGAAATAAAAATATTATTTGGACTATAATGGCTATAATAATTTGATAAGACATAATAAGGATATGATAGAAGATATTGTTTGAAGGAACTCTCTTTATTGTACGCGTATTATTAAATTGTGTACAATTGTGTCCGCCAGGACACGCCTTTCGTCTAATAATACTGTGCTGGAGGTTTTACAGTTCACATAAAAGTTATAAAATTAAATATTAAATAAAGCATCGTTATAAATAAATTATGAGTTTACTTAACCTATGGATCATTTTATATTACTCATGCCATTACGGAATAGTTTGCGCAAGATCTGTTCTAATTCGATTGGACTTCTACAATTGATTCACGTTTCTCCACTACTCAATCCAATCATTTTGCAAATGATTGGTAAGTCGAAGTATAATTTCCGTAATCGACGTTTAGTAAAGTACGATTTATGTCAGTCAATTTTGTGTGATTTTCCATCACATCAAGACTCATTTACGAAATTCGAGATTGGACTCTTTAATAATAATATACAAATTTGCATCAAAACTTTACTTTCTCACTGAGAAATAAGAATTAAGACAATTTCTCGAAACGCAATCAATGCGCGCTACTCTATCATAGAGATTGCATGATTTTGAATACGTGTCGATGAGTAAAAAATTGTGTTAGTTAATTGTACAATTATCATAATTATAATCATATTTAAAGATGATCTTCGTGGAAAGGGATTTAATTTTATTAACAAATATTATCTTTCTACTACGTTCGCACAGTTTCGAAATTAGTAGATAAATCTATTCCAATATCATGATAGTTCGAGAGAAGTGCCTGATAATTCTGGTTCCAAGAAGAATCATATTATTGATTCTACTTATACGTCCCTTGATTGATTCTTGCGAACGAATAAGCTCGTCACATCTTCGGCGAATCTTCGGAGTTAATTTCTTCTTTCATTGAATCGACGATGTAGTCTCGTCAGCGAAGGAAGAAAAAACATTCGCGTCAATTTCCATCAGTCTTAGACCTTCCGTCTTTTGTTTTTCGTTTTCTTATGCCATCTTATTTGCAAACCGTAATCCACTCTTCCACTGTGCAATTCTGACATTGTACAAAGCAGCACCAGTGAAATTTGCATCTGCATCGCTCCGTTCGTCGTTGTCGTACCACATTGTAGCCTCTACCGCAACATAGATCAGAGCATCCATCTCCGCCGGTGCTGGTCTTGTTACATCTGCGACCAGTAGTGCCAGGAATGTCGAGCGTTAGATCCTGCTCGCAGAAGTTCGGTGATCTCTGGTAGTAGTAGAGCTGATTGGGGAGATCCCGAAGTTTCCTCTTGCGGCCGCCCCCGCGACGTTTCTTCTGTTTCTGTTTTTGCCTCCGTCGTGATCCTCGAATCTTGTTTGACGGTATCACATTGCCCAGATTGCTCTGCGTTACCAATACAGCGTTTCTGAAACGATTCTTCAGGACTTTGCCGACTACTCGGAATTCCGGAACGATTTTCCAGCAAGTTTTCAGTTCACATGACCCGGACATGCCGTGGCACTTGCAGCGTATCTGCATGTTGTTTGCTAATGCCTGCAATTGTGTTAAATTGTGAATAATTAGTCATTACATAAAATAAGATCAGAATTAAAAATTTGATAATTAGTAGTTATTTATTTCTTATCCAATGTGAATAAAGAGCATTAATTACATAGGATGTTAATTATGTAAAATACTTTCATATAAAATTTATATATGAAAAATCTATATATGAAAAAATGTAAATTAGTAAAAAAATTTGAATTATTAAAAAATTTTTTATTAATTCATTTTTTCAAAAAAGATCATTTATTATACATTTATCATTATTAGGTTTACAAAAATAATTATTTTAATATCTCATTTTAATGTCTCATATATTTCCAATGGACTTTTCTAAAAATTTCTGTATTTTCTATCTCAATCACTTATTATTAAAAAATTCTACATCTTTGTTGCATAAAATCCAAATCAATTTCAAATTAGTTTAAGAATCTATGAAAAAAAACCGCGGCCAATCACACTAAACTTGGAGAACATTTTGTATATTGACTGTTCTGAATGATGAATCTGCGCTAAAAAGTTGCTTTCACGTCGGTTGACTTTGTACAAAACGGTCAATCGACTTTTTCATTTGCGTCTGACACGGTCGGGATCTCTTTTTCGTGCAGGGCCTTCGATACAGCGGGCAAAGCAGGCGGAATCGAATCCTTCTCTCAAATTGCGATATCCGCGATGCCGTTGTTGTGACGTTGGCTGAAAAACGCCGGTTCTAACACGCTGTACAAACAGATACGAGTCGTTCGGATGTGTGGGGTGTGCAGAGTGGTCAAGAGGGTAAGAGAGGAGGAGAGGGAAGAGAGGAGGGCCCAGTTTCTTTTAAACAAAGAGGTGTCGCGTACAAAACAGTTAATGAGTCTACGGCTGGGTGGTCCAGCCTGAGGCTTCGTCTTAATAACGTCGAGGCGAGAGAGCGAGCGTGGAGAGGTCCATGAAGGAGGGAAGAGTCGGTCTTTCTCTCTTCCTTTTCCTCTTTCTTTCTTTTTCTCTCTCTTTCAGTTTGCTTCTCTTCGTTCTTCTTTCTTTCTGGCTCCTTTTTCGTTCTTTTATCGCAATGATGGGAGAGAAGGAAGAAGACCGTACATCGCTAAAAAGTAAAAGCCGGAGGAAAGACAGAACAATGAAGAAAGGACGAAGAGAAGCGAATCGCGCGCAAGATAATTTGAAGCTCTCTCACGGACCTACGCATGACGGCGTGCGCGCTACATTATTCGCGAACGGACGCGGCACGCGATTGCGAATTCGCTTCCTCTCAGGATTCCCCGCCGACCATTTAACGGTACATTTCTTGCGCGCGCCTGCTTTAAGATGGCGCATCATTTATCGTGGGATATCATGTGTATATACGAAGACTGTTATAAAAAGATGATAATCTCGTTGTAATAACTTATGTTAAAGTGTAGCTCAGCTTTCTCCGTCAATATGATCATTCAATGTTTACAAGCATGTAGCTTATCTAAAAAACGAGTATATACTAGACAGAATATCGCTGAAAACAATGTTATGAGAGCGAAAGACATGAATAGAAAGTTAAACCAAGAGAGAAACTGAATAGTTATAATTAACAATATTTTATTTAATAATTAACAATATTTTTTAATTACGTAATCTGAATAATAGAAGATGCATATAACTTAAAGACTATATAAGAAAACATTAATTTATTACATAATATTCTTCAAATCTCGAAATATATATTTTTAGTTGTATTTTTTTCTCTAATACATTTTAACACGTTGCAATATCGAATGTAAGATTAAAAAAATTTACATTTAGATTAATAATCTTATTAAGATTATTAAAAGAAAATACGAGACATGACATACTTCTTTTTTTTTCAAGTTTGTCATTAATGTAAATATGCTCATATCCGAAGTATAGCGATGTCGAAATTGGAAAAGTAATGCTTACCAAACGACCAGCTTGATTATTGTGTAGATTCACAGTAGACTGTATGTCGCCGGCTTTCTCCCGCGTGTCTAGGAACTGCCTCGAGAATTCCATGCCGTATTCGAGGTTGTGAGAGCAACCACCCCACTTAAATGTGATGTCTCTGGTAGTCGTCGGCGGATTATCCATATAGTGCAAAGGATCGCAGCTGCAAGAAAGCAGGCGGCCCATACTGCAGGCACGAGCCACGTTATGAGCCACACCAGCTGCCGAAATCGCGTAGGCGAATGCCGTCTCTCTATAGCCTGTAACAGAATGTGATCGATAATTAACCACTATATTTTGTTCTATTCTTCTTTTGCTAAAACTGTCAAAAAATAAATCATCCCTTCCATGATTTATCTTTTAAATTAATGTATGAGGTATCGCATTTTTTCACATTAGTTCTTTACATCTTTTGGTACATTTCCTAAACAAAAATTTCGAGGTTTAAATAGTTTTTTCATTAAACGATTACAGATTTAGGAATGTCTTATTATTAAATTTTAGAATCGCAAATGGGTAATAGGTCGATTAAATTTATCATGTTATGTTGATCTTTTGATGTAATAGAGCCAATGCTGTAATATAATATAATAAAATTGGGATCATTAGGTATTCGTAAATAATTGTTCAAGATAAGATGCATTGAAGTATCGGGGAGACACTCGTATCTCAGTTGTCTCCGTTAGCAAATTGCTGATCGTCGTCAATGACACCGTCGAACACGACATGGATAATATACGCAAGGCTGCGATATCGTTCTCTCTCCTCTTGTGGATAAAGGCAGAGATCATGAAACAGCGGGACACCGGGGAAGCCGAGCTTCCGTAGAAGGAACTTCGGTAGCGAGTTCGGGACAGAACGAAACGATGGGCCGACAGACAGACAGCCATCAGGCGCAGTTCAGAGGTAGATTATTCAGCCGTCCGTCAAAACAAAGTGCGGCCATCAGCAGCGGCGGCCGGCGGGCATCCACTGTCCGCATGTATAAACGATCTCGCGACGGGGTGCCTGAGGGGGGGCAATGCGATGCCAAACTCCGTCCTCGCGAGAAGTCTGTGAACAAATCGCGATTTCTCGCCTGATTCTACGCGGAAATTGTAAACTGCCGCGAGATACCGTCTAACTTTAGCAACAACAACATAATAGCTTGAAGATAAGCACTGACTTTTTTAACTTTTATTGTTTGGTTAGAATTTTCAATACTTGACACATATTTTTTTTCATTGCAATATTTTTAGTTTTATCACTTTTGGATCTTTTAATTAAATATTTTAAAATATTTTATAAATGGATGTAAATTTATATTCTCGGAGTATTTGAAGGGGACTAAGACATGAACGAATATAAAATGGAAGTTAGTATTTCGAAAAAAGAGTTAGTTATTGGTTCACTGTAATAAGTAATGCGATGTCGGATGTGGTTTTTCTGTGAGCTCTCTTCAAGGTCTCCCAGAATCTCTGAGACATCTTTCAGACTCGATTGACAGACGGCCATTCGCGAAACTGCTTTGGTGGCTGCTCAACTTACAAACGATACGACGCACTACTATCTTTGAATTACAAGAATACAGGATAGAATATTTTTTTTCTCATGATTACATTATTTTTTTTCATCGCATTGATATATTCGGAACTTGTTTGGACAATTTTAAAATATTCATATTAATATTAAAAGTTATATATAAAAGAAGTTAGAAATTAATATTAAGAACTAAAAATTTAAAGACATTTAATTTTTATCAGCATTTTTATATTTTAATTCGCGAATGGATAAATAATTGTAGAAATTAAGTAAAAGAAGGTATATGAAACATTTATAAAGAAATTACATGAAATATTCATTCTAATTGTGTAAACTTTGAATGCATAATAGAATATCATATAATAGAAGTTAAAGCATTTAGTATTTAAACTAATAAAATTCTAGTTCTCTCTATTAAAATTCTAGTTCTTCTCTAGAGTTAAACTCTAGTTCTTTTTTTGATTCCTATTATATTGAGATACGATATATGCTACGAATATGAATGATAATGAAAGATTTCTTTAGTCATTGTCAACTGTTTCTAGATTATTCGACGAAATCCAATTGGATCGTTACTCAATGTAGGCAATCAGACAGCTGGCAGTCGATTACGTCGTTCTTCGTCAACAATGTTAAAAAGACTTCTTCGTGAAATCCGAAGATCGTCTAAACGACCGACTAAAGCATTTCTTCGAGATTCCCCAGACTGATAGGAATGTCGGGGTTGAGAACCAGGATGGATCTACTAGTTTTCGACGGATACCATCGAACTCGATATTGTGGCTTGATGCCCAGAATGCTAGTTTTGGTGCCGAGAATAGCACGTCTCTCAATGGAATGAGATGGAATGAGGGAGGGCCTTTTATGTGGTTTTACAGTAGAAGAGGTGGTTCGAAGCTTCTGCTATATACGGGTATTGGCAGCAACTGTTTTATAATGCAGATAGCTACCGTGCCGCGAGATCGTTGTTTCTCGACAGTGAGAGGGACGGAGGGAGCGTGTAATAAATCCTCCGCGGGTAGTTGTACGTCTCTCCTCTTACCGGACAGTGGAGAACCCAAAGTGGAAGATAGGGAAGAATCCCGAGGAACGCGATTTCTGCTCCCTTCGTTTCTCGTCGCAGCAGTCTTGGTGCAGCGACGTAGTGACGAATGGTACACAGGCCTTGCGCTACTTCCACGTGTCAGATCCAAATCGTTATTTAGATAACTCAATAGATAGTGTTCGAGGGAGGTCTTGCGAAGACATGCGTATCTTTTGAATGCAATTAATCCGAAGACAGAGATATCAAATAAATTCTACAGATATCAAGTTTGTTCATTTATTTTTTCTTTTAGCTTTTCGTCATATCTTTTCTATTTTTTAACTATTATCAATATAATACCATCTAGATGTTCTAAAGATAAGTGAAGTACTTACAATATATTTTAGAATTACTTATATAAGATATTGAAAGAAGATTATTTTAAACTTGTTAGTTATTGTTGTATTTTACGCTTGATAAAATATATAGAGAAGTTAAATAATTGAAGGCTGCTGTTCTTTTGTTACTGTTGTTTGTCCTATTCGTTAATATTTCATCGTGATAAGTCAAAAAAAAAATTTTTATATTTTTGTGATATTGCCGCACGATTATTAATTATTACAAACATATCGTTGTTATGTAAATAATATTGGTTGAATTGCTATTTACATATTTAGATGACTTAGGTCCAGTTGCATCAACGTTACTTTAATTTTAAGCGAGACTTAAAACTCTCTTTGTTCCTATCTCTTTTCGGTTTTAAAACGAGATAGAAAAAGTTTTAAATCTCGGTTAAAGTCAAAGTAAGATTGGTGCAACCGGGCCTTAATAAACAATACGCTAGATAGATAATTATATTGTAATAGATATTGTAATATAAGAATGCTAGTATCCTTTGTGCTTTTAAAGTATGAATAAATCCAAATGTAAGAGTTGTTTATTTAATTAATGACATTATTTTCTTTGATTCAAGAGAAGAGTACTATTTATCTATTACTTCTATGGATTACTTGATGGCTCTTTAATTAATACAGAAAAAGGAAAATTGATTAGTTAACTTATGGGTAATGTCTGATCTTTGATTTAATAACTTATTTATCATGTACGAGCTCAATTTATGGAATCTCTCGACGTTAGAATTCAAAAAGAGTGACCTGAGTTGTGATCTTAAAAATAGAAAAAAGAGTCTTCACTTTGATGTTTCCATATTTATATCTATAAATCCAGTTTTCGTGAAGCATCGTGTCAGTATGGGGAACGCGACAGCCGGTCCGATCTTCTTGTGTGGGCCCTACGCTGCGGAGCGGTCGAAGATCGGTTCCGTGTACTTTTCATAATACATTAAGTCGTTTTGCTGAAGTCCGACGAAATCATGACGATAGGCGAGAGAAGCTAGGATCGGAGAGGGGGGGGGCAGGGTAAGAGCAACGAGAGGGCAAGAGAACCGTGTCCGAGTGACTTGAGCTATGAACAGCTCTTCTCGAGACCCGAGGCCCAAATTTGACACGGTGGATTTCTCAAACGATCGCAGACCATCTCTCCACCTGGCCACCGATATCTTAAAAAGGGACAGTGGTTGTTAGTCGCGCTTGCTGAGGTATAAGTTTCTCGGAAGCTATTGCTCTCTGACTCGAAAACCAAAATCTAATAATGGTCGATCGGTTGTTGCCAATGTTACGGATAATCAGCGAATCGCAAATCTTTTACACTTTGGTGTAAAAGTGCGACGAATACGAGGAAGTTTTTGTGCGTGAACATTCGCGAGTGATGCAGCTTTGTATAATGAAGAACATTGTGTCTTTTATGTAAAGATCAAGTGTTTAATTAGTAACTTTATCTAACAAAATTTACTTGTTTTAACTTTCCATTTTTTAAACATTTTATGTTTAACAAACCAAAGAGAATTAATATAATGGAACTAAGATGGTTTACCGAGCTATTTCGCGATACGCGAGAAAAAGGATTGTACTTGTAAAAGAGTAAGCTTCGTCTTGTTAGAATTCTATGATCGGTCGGACGGGCAGCTTTACATAACTCTCGAAAAAGTCGTGGAATCGACACCTTCTCCTGTCTCGCGAGCAAGAAAAGGCGTACCGATCCACGGAGGCAGATAACGAGAGGCCGGTTGGGAGAAACGGGCCCCCGGGTCTGCGGACGCGCTTAAGTTTTCAGGTCAGGTGCGCCCGATGTCGCGCTCTCGCGCATTCGTCCGACACGATATATGTTTCCTCTTGCGGCGCACGTACACGCCACGACGAATTTATATGTCACACCGGAATAGGCCGTGGGGGCAGGGTCTTCTTATGGAATTGGGACAGGTTTTCGGGGTCTGCCGCGGGTAGGTTATATCGTGCGCTTTGATTTAAGGAAACGCGTCGTCTCGCCTCGCATCGCCTACACCGTCCCGTCAACGACGTCGTAAAAGATTCCACTTTGTACCCTTCAAGGAACTTGTACGCGATAATTATATACGATGAGAAATCGCCTAGAATTTTTGTAGATTTGTCAAATACCATCATGGAATTTTTCGATTGTAATATTTAATTATCTAACGTGTTCTGTGCAATTTGTACACAGAAAAAAGGAGTCTGGTAATAACTATCAAATAATTTCAATTAAATGTTCCATTAATAAAATAAAAAATAATTTTATTTATCTAAATATTTAATAAATGTTATTAAATACAATAATATAACTAATCGTTAATTTGATAATAATTATTAAATATGTAGAAAAGTAAAGTTATTTTTGGTTATATTAACCGAACTTGATTAAAATTATTTCATTCAACATTTGATAGCTATTAACAGATTCTTCTTTTATATTGTATGTCTCGAATATACGCGTGTAAAGTTTTTATTTTTCATAGCTATATTATGTTACTAGATGATCACCATATATATATTTTATATTTTAAAAATAACAAAATATTTTATTATAACAAGTATAATCGATATTTTTTTGTAATAATTTCTTTATAGGCAAAACGAATTTACATTTGTTCTGTATTATTTGTTATGAATAGATTAATTTCGTTTATAGTATTCTTCTAAAAATTACTTAGAATATTTATCTTTGAAATTATACTATTTTAGGGAAACTACTAATGTTCGCATTATAAAAATTTTTGATTGCATACTATTTTTTATAATTCTAGTAGTTTATTTTAGTTTCTTAACGGAATCTTATATTTCGTTTATTTGTATTTATAGTGCGAACCGAGACAAATTTAATGATCCAGGAAACATTAATACGCCATTAGTGAGAAGGTAGATTATTAATCACGAGTTCAGATCTGATCAGATAATTTCGCTCGTTAAATATTCTTAGTGGAGCGTCGAATGACTTGACATTCAGTGCGATTGACTCGCGGATCTGAGTTTTAATCTCATACGTGATTTTTCGCGTTTAAAGAGCCAAAAATGGCTTCATCTAGTGATTATTAAGAGAAGTCACCAGCGCCGTAAAGTCAACTAGGGAATAATATGAATACGAAAAGTATTAATAATTAAATGATGAATAAATTGGGCAAGTAGAAATCGGCGCTATAAGTGTGCTTAAGTAACTAAAATCGTTCAATAATATATTTTAGCAATTTCAACAAATCAATAACGTTATTAATTTGAAATATATTATTGGATTATATAATTTTAGTTACTTAAGCGCATCACTTACACAGCGCCGATTTCTAATTGTCCAATTTACTCATTTAATTATTATTATTATAAGGAATCTTACTTTTGTAATTATATACGAAAAGTATTCTTAGTATATACCTCGTTTAAGAAGGACACTGCTCTGTTGAGTTCTGCTGCTAGGTGTGAGTGACGAACAGTTCCACCTGTGCCACATGAACTGATTTTGACATTCGGATATGGCAATTTGTAGCCCTTTGATCGCGGCTACGGTGACATCGGGATTTCTATGGCAAAGCTCGCGTTGATCCTTCGTCAGTCCTGGAATGCCGTTACAAACGACAGCGCTGCCACTCACCCAATCATCCACTGAGTTGCTCATTAGACAAGATGCGCTGAAAAAGATAGCAAAGTGATAATTGGCGCGTGAATAATCATTGATTTCTTCGATTATAGTTATCATTAAACTACTAGGCTATGATAATTAAATATGCAAAATTAGACATTTTTTTTTTTTAATCAAGATTAGATGAGCTGAAAAATATAATATGACAAAATAAACACATCTTCTTCTACTTTTACGATTAATACAGAAATAGTACAATGTGCAATTCGATAATATGGCTATGTTATTTTAAAGTTATCTATTTGAAAATAAAATTAATATCATATTACGTGCATTCAATTTTAATCACAAGTTCTGAATGGCGAGGCTATGTAATTTTTCATCATCATTAGAGATATTATCATTTTGTTTTATTTTTGAAACGTCGTTCTTTCGATGATTAAATGAAAGGAAGTGCAAATATATATAAAAACGCAATTAACATCTTCGCGTCTTTCCTGGAAAATTTTGCAGAAGAAACTTGTATGTTATAAATTATGTCATATATTTGATTTGTCATAGATTTTTGCGAAATTTTAATAATTCTTTAATTATGTTAAAATATATACATATGCATACAAAAAAAGATATCTTTGTAGAAACTAACAGAGAATGAAAGTGTGTGATGAGCTACAAGTATTTCCCGCCAAGTTATAACTCGCATTATAGTCTTTTACTCTTTTCATTGCAGTTACTTCTCTTTTCAGTTGCGAACGTACATATTAGTTTAGCGTATGTCGAGTGTAATTAGTGACGATGTGCGGAAGCAGGGAAGCAGCCGGTCAAGCTCGCCACCTGGTTAAACTCGCGAAACTGATTATCGTTGAGTTCTTCACTGATAACGGTGTGCAAGCAATTACACTATGGATAATCATCGGTATTGAGATACTAGAAAACATCGATGTTTTATGATGAGCATGAATAGAGAGAATACTCTACTTAGACTCTTTTCTTAAATGAACTCGGTTTAATTCTTTTGATTACTTATAAAATTTTATTTCTACTTGTAACGAAATAAAAATTAAAAAATAACAATATTATTTTCTAAAATTTTTATTTTCATTCAATATCTTACACTATAAAAACAAAAATAAAATGTTAATTTTAACTTAAAGACATATTACGTCCATTATATATAGTGGACTTAACTCAAAAATGTTGATTTTAACATTTTTTTTGCATGTTTCAAAAAATTTATCATACGTATATTTAAGTTTAAAATTAAAATTAACATTTTATTTTTGCAGTGTATTTGTATTAATGGTACAATGGGTAGATTTCAGCAAATCTATTTAATTAGCGATTAAATGGACAGTACCGATGTTTGTTTTTAAACAGCAATTTTTAAATTTCACACTCGGAATGTTAATGGAAATGCTTGTACTGAATATCGAGAGTTGGTCCAGCTTGCATCTTCGAATCTGTAAGGTGCAGCACTAATCGCGGCAGTCTGGAGCAGGTTTTACGGTCGCGCGCGGGTACTTTCGCGCACGCGTGCACCACACGCGAGCGTCCGTTTTCCTTCAATTTTACGAGGCCGAGGTCAAGAGGTGCAAACGTTTTTAAAGAGTCGATAAAACTGTTTCTATCTTGCCGTCTGTTTCTGCCATCGCGCTCCTCGAAGAAGAGATGGCAGAAGGAAAGGCCCATACGTTCGACCCTCCTTCCCATCCCCCGTTCGGTCGCGATAACGGCATCCATCTCTTGGAAGAGAAGCTCTTAAAACGCTATCTTAAGCGACGGCTGCTGCCTAATGGCCGCGTATTACGGCGTACCGGGTGTTAATTAATTTTGAGGTGAAAAAAAGAAACAGCAGAAGCGAGCGTGCGTGTTCTATACACGGTCTGGGTCGCGTGTATTCGAGAGCGTGCGTTGGTTCATCGAGAGAGAGAAAGGAGGGTTGTTCTTTCGCTTTATTTCATCGTTATAAGATCAGAATCTTCGTTTCCTGTTACCGCGTGCTTTATCAAAAAAATACACCGTTAGAATCTTTACTATAGCATTTTTTATTGTCTGCCGAACATATTTAGAGTTAGTAAATAATAAGCCATAAACCGAAATCTTTTATCGAATTCTGCCGGATTAATCTACCGCTCTCTCGGGCTGCGCTTTCTTTGTGTGTGAATTGCTTTTGATCCTTTACAATTTTTAAATTTTATTATATTTTAAATATATTTTAAAGTTTTCGATAAATTATTTTTTAAATAAAAAGAATTATGAAGAATATTTTAAGTATTTTAGAAATATCAAAGCGCAAAAATTATTATAAAATTATTTTATTTTTTACAGCAATTTCTTTATAGCAATCTGTTCTCAGAAATATAAACAGAAAAAATTAAAATGGCAAATTTAGAATTCTCTCGTAAAACATACAATTAGAATAACTAAATAATTATCCACGCAGAATAGTTTAAAAATTAACATAAATTGTTATAACATGAATATATGATCAAAGTTCTCCTTCGATTATTGGAACTCGCAAGATTGGCCAGCAGCGCGAAAAAATCGCCTTCCTCACGATCATTAATCTGCTCGTAGCATTTCGAAATAGTTTATTTTTTCCTTAGAGGGGTCCTCGGTGGAGTCGTAGGGTTCTACAGGATGTCATGGGCGGGTGCAAGGCTCTTCGTGGGTCGTTTGGTTATCTGCGGGTACAAATTAGTGGACGAGCTTCTTCTAAAGTAAAAGCTGTGTATAGCACCCGCGTGAACGAAGAAAGAGGAGCAAGACGAAGAAGTCGGCGACAGCGAATTCAAGGAGGATAGAGGAAGGAGAGGACACGGGGAGAATGGGCATTAATAAGAAGAAAAAGTAAAAAGGTCCTGATGCGATACTTCGTAGTGTGGGAAAGAACGATGTAGAAGGGGGAGAGGGGTTTTAGGGTCGCGGAGGTTATTGAGAGCTCCCATTACCGGTACACCGTTGCACCGCTGCTATCTTTCGCGCTATTGATGATCTACCGAAAGCAGATTAATGATCTTAACTCTCCCAACAAATTACGGAAGACACCGCGTACCTGCAGAGGAAGTTGGATTGTATCAAGAGATTCCTTTCGCTACCTCTCGTCTCGGCTTCCCCGCTCGTGCATGCGTCTCACTTCGCGAATAAGAAACGAGCCGGATACGTAAGACAATTATTTTACTGAACCTTTTAAAGCAATCGTTTTGTTGAAACCGCAAATTTTTATTTATTAATCAGTATGATTATTATCAAATTTATATTACTACGCAGATTATGAATATTCGGTAAATTTTTAATCTATCGAGAACAATTTTTTAAAAATGAATGATTTGTTATATATGAAGTTTTTTACAAGAATTTCTTCTTATTACGTTTATAAGTATAAAATAAATTTTAAATAATATTTTTCAAACCCCAATAAAACTACCATAAAATTATATTGCAATTAAAAGGATAAAGACACTTAGAAAGATGATTTTTTAATATAAAATTATAAATCATAATCGTAAAGTATTAAGATATAACTAATCTAATATGTACTAATGTTTATTTATGCACACAGCACGTTGTGTACTGTTAATTCTTATGGACTAAATATGCGATTATTTTGTCACAGTACCGATTAAAGAATGAGACGTTAAATAAATTAGAAATCATTTATGAAATATCAAACTTTCAATTAAAAGTTGCGTGTGTTTAAAATTGCATTTAAAGGCTGAAGTAATAATTAAAACGCAATAAGATCGATTTATTGCACAAACAATCAGCAATGTGCTTTTACCAGCAACCGTTATAGTTTCACTTCGTGCTCGATCTCGAGTGCTCTGAGAATCCACTGGGCAAATCGCAGACGAGATACGTGAGCGCGTGTCCCGCATTTTTGCAATAATCTAAGGGGTCGCAGAAGAATCCAAGATGGCGACATGCACGTGTTTTATTTAATCCCTCCTTCCCTTTTCGTTCTGCTCGTGGAGATGAGAGAGGAACACGGCACGGAATTTCGCGTCTAATGGGATATACTCAGTGGAAAGAGAGAACTCGCCTTTTTTCATGATCCCGCGAGAATACCTGCGGTAGATATCGTGGTGCCTCGCTCTTCTCTCGATCTTATGAGAGTAAATCGATTTCACGGCGAGTACATTGTCGGGAATGCGATAGGCTGCGAATTACGTTCTGCAGATGGTATCTAGCGGCGTAAGTTATGGCGACCTGTAACTTAGCGATAAAACTGGATTCTCATCTAGTTCGTCAATTACTAGCGATCTCATAGAGCACTCGTGTTAAATCTCCATTTGTTAATAAACATTCAGGATTCCGCTATTTTCTCTTCGATATAATATGAATTCCTTGAAAATGATATCATTTGAAGTCGCGAGTGTTTAACCGCGGTTTAACCGCGAATTATAATTTAAGTTGTCATATCTGCATATCTAGATTTTCTTAGAATGATTTCTTAATTTTTAATTGTATACTTCACTAAAAACTAATATTTAGTCATAATAGATTTTTATAAGTTGATTATATTTAGTTTATATTAAGTTGACTATATTATTAAAATCAATGTGAAATTTAAATTTTGAAGTTATATATATTAATACACTAATATATTCACATATTATTTTATAAAAATATTCTAACTTCATAATGATAAAATAGAAGAAAATAGGCTACGAGTCAATTTTCTTAAAAACATTTAATATGTGAAAACAAAACGAACGTTTCGACATCGATCGAGTTATTATCAATGTTCGCGAATAGATATTATATATTAATAATAAAAGATGTTAAATTAATAATCCGGTCAAACGCATAAAATATAAAATCATAAAAATGTATTCAGTCAATATATAATTCAGTCAATTCTAAAATTAACAGTGTAAAAATTACTGTTGTGTAAAAAAGTATTACATCATTGTTTTGTCGATATATTAGAAAGAAGTGTGTATACCTATGATAAAAATTGAAATGTGATGCAATAGAAGGAGACTTTTAGCAGTATCGCGATAGAAGTCAGAGAATTTTTTCTAATGTTACAATGGAGTCAGAGAATTTTTTCTGACATGTAATTGTATTTAACTAGACAAAATTCTCTGACTCTATCGTAACTCTATCGTTAGAAAAGATTCTCTAATTTCTATCGCAATACTGCTAAAACTCTTTTGACTTCTATCGCATCACATTTAATTAATTTTTATCGTCGATATACATTTCTAGAATATCGACAAAACAATGATATATGATATGATATGTAATACACTTTACATAACAGTAAATAATTTTTACACTGTTAATTTTAGAATTGACTGAATTATGTATTTTTATGATTTTATATTTATTGCTTTTGATCGGATTATTAATTTATATAATATATTTATATAATATATATTTATATCTATTCGCGAATCATTGATAATGATTCGATCAAAATGTTCGTTTTGTTTTCACATTCAAATATTAAAAGTTTTTAACAAAATTGGCTCGTAGCCCTTCTATTTATCATATCTTTTTATCATTGTGATTTTATTTTTATAAAGTCATATTATAATTAATTTAAGTATTACTTTATACTAATTGTCTAATTAACTAGTTAATTAATTAATGAATGATTTGTGTTCATTAATATCTGCTATGAAAAATCTAATATAGAGATTGTCATACTATATTTTTATCTGAATAAAACTGGAAAATATTTTGAAGTTTGCTGGATTTTTAATGTATACGTATACATATACATAATAAATTTTATTAGTAAGATTTGAAATAGGTTTAGCATATTAAATTCTTTCATTATACATTTTCTTGTTATTTTTGTTTGTGATATAAAATTCACATTGTACAAAAATATATGCATTGCGACGTAATCAGAGAAAGCCGCGTACACGCGTGTTAAAACGTTAATGACGCGAACCAGTTTATTGACTATTATATCATCAGAACCGTAATTCAATGCCGTCCTGTAAGTCCGGCTCGCATAAATGCGCATATGTGAACATATATATATATACGTGGATCTACTCACACACGTGAATGCACGTTCTGTTCCCGGATGCTAGGCATAATTATTTACAAGAAGCTGCATGGGTCTCAGAGAAGAGGCTATTGAAGCCATCACCATTGACGAAGAATCGTTCGTGTGTATATATTTTGAGAACCTGCAGGGAATCATTGGCGATTATCTAGTACGATATCACATTCTGAACATTAACAAACGAGGAATGTATCACGAAACTCCACGATTATGAAATTAATTACTTGACACGATTATACGCGTGATATCGGATTTTATGATTATAGCATCTGTAATTGAAAGTTTTTATTAAGCGGTGATCTTGTTGTTTATCAACGTAATGATTTTATAATAAGAATCTTGAGTGCATAAGTTGATTATGTTTACACCATATTCTTAGATCGACTTATACAATAGGTGTCCTTGTTTATCCTGTAGATTAAACAAAGCCTATCGTATAGATCGCAAATTAAACGCACGATGTAAACGTAGTCAATGAGAAAGAATGTTATTATGGTAATATATGTTTTTAATGTAAAATATATATCAACAAGTCCGCTCTAAATCAGCCAATTTTCTTGGCTAATAATTTTATTTAAACTTACGTGTACCATTTTGATTTTTGATTTTGATTTTGATTTGACTTGAGATTATCTACTATTCTTGAAATAGTTACAAAACTTTTTAATAAATTGTGTAATAAATTGTATGTTTATGTACATTTGTACATTTGTATGTCTCTGTCTGAGGTCGTATCAAAGCAATCTATTTTTCAATCTGCAAGTTGCCTGAGAATCGTCGTCGTCGTTTCATCGGTACGCTTTTCGCAAAAAAAAAGATTCGTTCAGGACGATCCTGGTGCACAAGGCGCGATTAGTATTACGGAGAGCTATAATAAAGATCGCAGCGGGATTCATTCTTCGTGATGCGGAGCTTGGTTGGAACGGTCTATTTGCACTTCGTCATTGTGCGCCTCTATGGAACCGTCGATACGACCGCCGGGTCGAAGAAGCGCACCCTATTGATGGATTCTTTCCGCAGAGACAGAGAGAGAGAGTCAAGAGAAGAGGTGCATCAGGAAGATGCACTGTGAAAAAAAGAGGGCGAAGAAGTTGGCCGTGCTACCGCGCTCGTAAATTTTTCTTGGCGAGATTAGACACGGCGAGCCTGTTCCTCGTTGCAGCTTCTCCTCGGTTGTCCTGTAGACATTGTCGTGTATTTTCCATCGCGGAGTGGACAACGTGCATTTCGTGAGTGAGTTCGCGATTTGTAGCGCTCCGTCACAACGGACGGACAAAGCGGGCGAGAGTGACGTTTTGACGTCTGCATTATGGTGCATCGCGGCGCATCAGAGTATCGTGTGGACCAAAGTACGAGACAGAACAGACACTCCGGAAGACTGTTTTCACACGACGACGCTCAAGTGTGAAGTGAAAGGGGAGAAAGAAGATGAAGAGAATGAGAGAAGGATATACTTAAAGAATCGAGACACGCGCGCGTGAATTGCTAGTCATATATAGAATAAGGTGCTTGAGCGAAAATAGATGATGTTACAACGAATATATAACGTTAATAAATTAAGCTTAAAATGGCACATTTCGATATTAATTAGTTATTTTGCAAATGTGATATGTATAAAAACATTTTGTATTTTAATCTAAAAAAATATATGATATACGAAATCTTATATACAAAAGATGTGTATATTAAGACAATATTTTATATGATATATTTTATATTTTTAAATGGAATTAAAAGATATTTACTAAAAACTATTTTATCTATTTCCGTGGATATCAATGACATGATAAAATATCAATGATTTTTATAAACGTATTTAGTAAATCGTATAAATGTATTTAGTTAAATCTATGATATTTTACTCTAGCAATTATAATTATATGATGTAATAAATTAGAACGATCATGATTAAAGTATGAAGTTCTTTTCAATTTGAGCAATATAACTTATATGGGATGAAATAATAAATAAAAGAACTGAAATCAATATGTAAATTTCTATCTCTCTCTTTAAAGATAATAACGGTAAAAAATTGAAATGTATACTTATATGTACTATGATTTTTATCGCTAGCATTAATGTTCCTATAAATAATATTTTAAAGACATTAGAAAAAATTAAGAAGTTTTGATCCTCAATCGTTAGATCATCAGAATCATAGAGATACTCACCGGCGATGCTCGAAAAGAATTAGCAGCAGGGCGACAGTGGGACCGATCCTGGTAGCGATCCTGGATGGCGGTCCTTCGTATGCACGTCCTGTACGAGATGGAGGCATCCTGTCATCGCCCCGAGGTCGTCTTCTCTTCTTTGCGCGGTTTGCCCACTTTAAAAGAGTTGAGTACGACCCTTCGTCCAGGGTTGCACACCCCTAGCACCCGAACGGAAGGACCCTTCGTTCGAGATGATGCTGAAGCTGCTCCCGTTCTTTATCTCCCTTCCTCTCTTCGTTTTCCTCGCTCTTTCTCTCTCACTCTCTCCGCGTTCGCCTTTCTCTTTCTCTCCTCGTATTCTCCGGTCCCTCTCCTACTCTTCTCGCCGCGGTGCCTGTGATCACCAGTCTGGCACGCGTCGAGAACTCCTCCTCGCCCCGGGCACCGGCGCTTCTCCTTTGACGTTCCGTACGATTCGAGAGCTCCCAGTTTTGCTGCTTCGAGGGTGCGTTTCGAAAACTACCCCGAGACAATATTCTGCGACGATCGAACGATTCATTGAGCGTATACTCGTCTCGATTCTGGCTCTCGTTGCAATTTATTATATTATGCGTCGGCTAGCTGGATGATGAGACTCGTTCTCGATGTGTATTTTCTTTCTGTGTACTTTCGCTATCCTTTGATGAACCACTTACGTGTAAGTTCCCAGAACAGTCTTCGTTACATTTATCAAGAGTGAAAATTTTCGAAGCGGCTTTGCTCAATCTTATTAAATACACTTATCTCTTTGGAGGACAAATACTGTCGAGGTATATGGTGAGGTCACTGTCACTATAGTCTTTGTTGCACCGGCTTTATTCTTTATGTCTTTGGCATTTTCTTCGGTGCTGAAGTATGAATGAGTACTCCAACATAGTTTGCCTTTGAATAAATTTCCTTTATCCAATTTGCACATCGAAGTCGTAGATCACGATACCCTTCTCGGTAAAATCTATCCGAAGATCCGATAACATTCTGTCGTTCTTTCACCCTCTAGATATGTTAATCTTTTCTCTTCCTCCCTTTCTTTCGTTGGTAACGAGATTCAGGCAAATTGGTCGATTTTTCGATGTGTTGGACAGAAGAAGAGAAAAGGGCTTGATGACTTACTCGATACTTCCGGTGTATGTGCGCTCGCGGCGAAGTGTCAAGCTCAAATAAAAGAAAAGTCGCCCTCCGGATTCTCCTACTCCTCCCACACACGGACCATCACGATCTCCCCCTTCCCTGTCTCTCGGTTACAGGTCCTCTTCTTCTTTCTCCTTAACCACCGCCTCTTTTTCCACTGTGGTTTCCTCTGCCTCTCTCCCTCGTAACCGCGCCTATCTCTCGCTTTGCTCGTGCAAACAATCAAATAGCAAACTTCCCGCGATTGTCACGCTTAGTGCGACGGTGACGACAGAACCAGGCGAGGTTTTGAGGATTGCGGAAGATGAAAAAGTGGAGGGTCGGATAGAAGGGGGAGGAAAAGAAGAGAATTCGTTTCGTGAAGAATTCTAGGAGTAGAGGTGTTAATGCGTTTGATCGGATCGCATTTGCGGGGTGAAAAGATTCATGTCGAAAAGTAAGATCAAAGGGTAGACTATTTGTCGAAAAGATGAGATAAAGTGCAGATGAGATAAAGTCGAATAGTAAGAAATTTTGAACATCTGGGAGCACAATGGAATTGAACCGATTGTGGTGCTCGAGACAAACTGCCCGATCAAGGAAGACGCGAGAAGGTCACGCACTATTCCCTGTACTCTCTTCTCCTACGTTCGCTGACACCGACACCACGCTACTGTAGAGCCGGAGAGATAAACAGAATCTGGATGATTCCGCCTCTGTTCAAGACCGACGAGGAGCTGTCAGAGAGATCGCTCTGTCTATGATGAACTCGGTGCGCAGTGCGCGGCTACGGGGACCCTCCTCGCCCTCCTATAGGGAGAGAAAGGAGAGATAGGGAGCAGTATAGGCACGAAGGAACCAACTACCCCCCCACCATAGCCACCACCATCTGGACACGACCACCACCACCATCGGCCACCACCCCGAGATTCGATGTGAGAGATGAAGAGGGACGAACAAAATCACCTAGAGAAGGATGACATGACAACGAGAATTGTGATAGAAAGAGAGAAATAACACAGCGCGCACAAGAAGAAGGAAGATGCAAAAATGCGTGGACTATAAACCGTTCCTGAATTTCTCTTTCTCCCCTTTTTTCCCCACTTTGGATCTATCTTTCTTTTGCTTCTAATGCGTCTTCGTTTCGAAGACATATATTTTCTCGACAGATAATCTGAAAATGCCTTCTCTCGAACAAACATCAGGTACGCTGCCATTCATAATTTAAATTTTTGATTGGGATGATTGTCATGTTGTAATGAATGAAATATTCATTTTCTCTATTTGGTCTTGTATATATTTTTATATCGCGATTCATAATTATAGATATATAATTCTAGATTGTTTACACTATTTTATTTTCTATTTTATTATTTGTGATGTTTTTATTTATTATTTATTTTGTATTATTTTGCATCAGCAATTGAAAGAATGTTTTATACTTTTAATTTAATTAATTTGTAAAAAGAAAAATAGTAAGATAATAAATAAAAAATTTATTTTTATTTGAGTTGTTTGAGTAAAAATAAACTATGATGCTCATTCGGTTAAATATAATTACTTTCATATAGCTGACGTACTATTATCACAATTATATTAAATTTTGAATTATTTAATATAAATCCGATTGCTTGAGCTATTGAATTTTGTTCGATTGTTAAGTAAAAGATAATATGCATTGAAATATTCTTTCTACATCTTTATGACTTAATTGAAACGAGCAATTTCTTATGCTTTTAAACATCTTGATGGGCACATCTCGCTTCATTATCGTATGGGCAGACAGATCTTCATGTCTCGAAATATCGCAGTGCATTTCCCTATTCTTGAAGGATCTTACCCTCTAGAAAGGAAGGAAAGCAGGCAGGAAGGAAGGAAGGTTGTCTGAGATCACGTGACAGGACAAGTAGGAGGAGCGAAATTCCCCTACCTAGCATCACTTGGAGGAGTCAATCGGCATAATTGAGGCTTATCTTCCTCCCTTACACAAACAGCCGTCCGCCTACTCTCATCCCCTCTCTTCTTTAGATCTTTCCTCGGATTCTGACTTATACAAGAAATGCAAAGAATTGATATTATATTTTGATTTTTGCTAACAAGATGAATATCACCTTTTCATATTAATTACAAGATATTTAAAATTCATCAAATTATTATTTTTGTGCGACAAGGAATGTGAATATCGATATCAGATAGAACTAATAATTATATTGACACGCGAACTTTATTTTTTTAAACAGTATGATGCGCTTATTGCTTCAAACAAGATGGCCTTAAATAACCAATGTAGAATTCATATTTTTAAAATCTATCTATCTAAAATCTGTCATCTATATATGCACGCAGTTTTATAGAAACATAAAAAGCGAAACAAATACGGATAAATTTCCCTGAATTGAAATATTTATGGCTCTTATGTCTTCTCGCTGATACGTTTCTAAAGCCAATTAGCAGTGTATCCAATATAATATAATCTGTCGTACGAAGATCTCGGTTGATGCTGCGATTATGGGAATTGTAGCGAGAGAGCAGAGCTCCCTGTCTACTTTTCCCCTTGTTCCCGGATGCCTTCGATTTCTCGTCGACGCGATGTGGAAGTGCAGATTTCATTGACGTGGTCGCTGAACTGGCAATTAGCCGCAACGACCCCGGCTTGTACACCGCGCTCGTAGTCACCCCACTGTGCCACGTGGTCGAAGATCAAACGACGATCCTGGCACAAAGCGCAGCCAGCTGGGTTCTCTCTCGATAATCGGTAGCGGACGCCGGATCACATGAACTGCGATGAATCTGTGGTGGCTCGTTTGGTCACCCTCGTTCGCGACCTTTGACCTACGCTTAATTAGGATCCACATGCTGGAGAAAACAGGTGTATAATTCGTTAGCAATCGGACACAATTAGCGAAACTGTCAGATCACATAAATGAAAGGATAAACATTAATTTTTGATGATGAGAAATAATTAAGAAGGTCAAATTAATTTCAAACTAGTTTAAATGTCATTTTTTATGATGTTAATGAAGATTGAAGTAAAAATCGTAATAAGAAGAATTTATCTTTATATGTCATGTTATTTTACTTCATTAGTGCCTTATGAAAAATTTATTTAATTGGAACACCAATACGAACAATTTGATATAATTAATTTTGTGATATTTAATCTTAACGTTTACTGCAGAAATATAAAAAGAGATGGAAATAAATTTGCCTAATTAGGTTTAGTCTTAACTCATTTCGATATAAGCAGCTTTTCGGTTGTCGCGATTCGGTAAACGCAAATCAGTACAATGTTGTTATCGCATGTTTCGAAACTAACGATACAGCGATGTCTTATGGCGCTCACCGTTCTCTCGCATACCACGGAATTATAGGCAGATCGAGCGGCGATTTATCGACCATTTACCGCAGCGCATACATTGCTGGACACATAAGTTTTTTTGCCTCGCGGATGAGCCACGTTCCATTCGTTTCGTAGAGGGACACTCTTTACCAGTCTCGATATCTCATTCCGATAACATCCGTACTTCTAGAGGAATTACTGGAAGCGCGTTTCTTCTACTTGATCTCATCTTTTGCCTTCTCTCTCTTTCTCTAGCGCTCTCTCTTCTAGAGCGTGCATCCTCTGTCATCCTATCAAGGTGCATTACTTATCGAGCTATCGAGTGTCCTGACCATGATCCTGGCACGCGAGCGCTGATACGATCGGGACGCTCAATCATCTTATCGCCGTGCAATGCGCCGTCGCTTGGCGACCTAATTGGCCGGCTTGGAAAAAAAAGTACGAAATCTTTCCATGAAAGGCGAAGTATAAAAAAAGAGAGCGAGGAGGGGGGGGGGGGGGGGGGGGGGGGGGGGGG